AGTCTTTGGGAAACACTGTTCTAGTAGACACCCTGGAGGCTTCAGGCAAGAAGGGTGTCTCATTGAAGTGTCTAAAGCAGTTCAATCATTCCGTCACTGATATATGGAACCAATGCCGGCCGTCTCTCGGGACACCATACAACTCGGGGGCCCCAGGTAACTGCCCCCGGGTCGCCTGCCCTGTTGCGAAGCCCCTGACGGAGCATCGGTGATTTCTAGAAGCCTAGACAATTGAGATACCTTTGAAGAGCGACCTTTACCTCGGACATATCTTGTGTCCCCGGCACACATGTATCATACTTGAAGTCAGTCAGAGTAAGTAAAACTCTAACTCTAATGTCTCTCTTGAGATTCACTGCAGACTCTGCTGTGTTTTTTTTTTAAACCTAAATGACCTTTTCCACAGTTTTTTCCCCACTGTTATGAAGCTTAAAAAACATTTTTTCCTTATAGGCTAAAAGTGTGTGAAACAAATGCAGTTGTAATGATCTGGGTAAAAACTTTTTTTTTTTGACATTTGACTGTGTTAGTATAAATGTGTATATTAGTATAGTGGGTTAGTATAAATGTGTATATTAGTATAATAACAACATAAAAGCATTCATATAAAAGAAGTCCCTGTGAGAGGGAAGAACTTAGGATGGAGCAAGTCTACGTAGAGGTTGACTTCACACACAAAACACAGAGATGATTCTATATAAGCAGAACATAATCTTAATTACAATTAATTACCTGTCTCAGTGGTCCTAACTTGGCGTCTCAGTTGTGATGAAGTCCTGCTCTCCTCCTCACGCTCCCGGTATCCACTCTGTCTCTGCCTTCATTCAGAATGAATGTCTGCATGCAGCAGCGGCAAAAAAAAAAAAAAAAAGAGATTTTCTTTTTTTTTTTTTTTTTAAATCCACTAACACAGAACAGTAGAGGGTGGTCCATGCACGGAAAGAGGGAGGCTGATGGTGCAATTTTCTCTGTAGTTTGAGCAGAGGGACGTCCTTCTCCTGCTCTGATGTCACATGAGTTTCACCACAACTGAAAGAAGAAAAAAAAAAGAACAAGGGATAAACCATGCTGGCGGCCAGTCAAAATTAGAGCGGTGGAGTCAGTGAAGGTCACGTTGGCTGTCATTATATGCCACTCGCAGAAGGTTAATTTGTCTGTCGCATGCATTTACAATGTAACGTCAGTAGAGTGGATATTTGAGGCATTTTTGGGTCATACTGAAACTCTAATTTCCTGTCTTATTCTGAAAGGCTAAATAATGAATTCATAAATGATCTTCTCCACATGTACTTCTGGATGAAATTAGATTTTGTATTTAAAAGTATAAATTAAAATGAAAATGTGTCTGTCAAATGTCTTTTCATTTACACAAATAGCAAATAAATACATTTTATATAAAAAAGAAAGAAGATATTGAGCCAGAAGGCAACGGTAAAGAAAAAAAAGCTTGCCCAATTGGATCACTTTTCTGGAATAGCTGCTTTAAGTTGTCCAAATTTTACGTCTCGTGCGCCCCTCCCTGTGGCTACACGGGTGCACTACACCCTCAGCCCTTAAAGGTTCATCGCGTAGGCTTCTAAAAAAAACAATGTAGCCAAACTTCATTTTTTTTAAAAAACTGTCAGAAATGTTTCCATTCGTCCTAAATATTATTTTGAAATCTCTCGTTTTTTAAAAAAATAAGTGGAATTAAATGAAAAAACAACTTTCCATTCTTCCTAAATATCATTTTGAAATCTCTCGTTTTTAAAAAAATAAGTGGAATTAAATGTATTTATTCTCTTTCAAAGTTAAACAGGTGACGTCACACCTATCGACCAATAGGAAGTAGCTTGCGTATGCTTGTTGACACCACGCCGTTAGCGACCGTGTCAAAAACACGGCTACTGATATTTGAGCCATGGTGAGTTCACTTCTTCCTGCTCATATTATTTATACCAGTGTTTTATTTTTTTTTATTTATTTTTTTTAGTGATTCTCGTGAACTTTAACTGCCGACTCTGACGTAGCAGCAGCTTCTGTCTACTCAGTGTTAAGTAGTAAAGAGGGCTTTACCTCTGTGTTTAGGTTAAAATTAGACACTGAAACGTTGGCTCCAGTGTCGGTGTGGATTTGTCAGGCTTGAGGCTGAGAGCTGTGTAGTTACAATGTTTAGGTTGTTATTAATATCACTACATAAGAATATATACATTTAATCAGTCACTAAAGTTAACAAACTTCTTTTAAATAAATAAATGAAATATATTGAAAAGTGTGCCAAAATACATGTCGTCATAGACTAGGTTATATAAAAAATACTACAAAAAAAAAAAAAATATAATTATTTGAGAATGAAAAAACACTGTAATTTAATCATATATCATTTTGTTTTTTAAAGGTAAAGATGGTAAAATAAAACAAATGTACTGTATGTGTATATCATACGTGTCAAACTCAAGGCCCGGGGGGCCATATGTGGCCCGCCAAGCCGTATGTACAAACCACTGTATGTGTGGACTTTAGCATTTATGTGTTTGTAATATAATGTGTTTAACTGGGTTAAAATGAAGGTAAACATAACTGGTTTGACCTGTTTATGTGCTTCAGGAGGCCGTGGGGCCCCAGCCTTTGTTGGACATCTGTTTGACCGAGGTGTGCCGCCGTCTGGAGTCGTTGTGCAGTAAGCGGGACGATGGCTCCATGAGACTCAAATCGCCCATCATGTTTCCACAGGAGTTATCTGACCAGCTGCTCCATAAGATGTCGACCACAGGTATGTTCTGAAAGGATTAAAAAAAAAAAAAAAAGTAGCTTCGACAGCGCAAACAGTGCAGCCAATAAATGACAGCTGTGGAAAATGGTTGACAAATTAGATTCACACTAAGGCCTTGTGTTAGTCATTTTTCTCCAGGCTCACATCTTTCTCGCTCTGTCATAATGAATTATTAGTTCCCACTGAATCATTCGCCAGAATAGTTAAAACAAATCAAACCTTATCCAATAAGTTTCCTCTGTCCACATCTCTCCAAAAGGAATACTAAACGACGTTACCGTTGGCGTTTTTCGAAACTGCGAGGAGCTGCGCCTGTGCAGAGTCTCCATCCCTTACTGTCCGGTTTCGGCAGAGGCTTTTCACCTGGCGCTCTGCCCTCACCGTCTACAGGAACTAGATGCCTCTTGGCTCCCTGGGGACATCACCGGGGCCGACATTGTCTCAGGCCTGACATCGAATTCGGAGTGCAGGTCCGGCCTGCAAAGATTGACCCTCACTGGTCTACGTCTGGACTGGGAGCCATTGGAGCTAAATGCAGGGAAGCGAGTAGGCTTCAGCTCTTTGGAAGGCCTGAAGACACTTAACTTGGCCTACACCGACTTGTCTGATGCTGACCTTGAAGATATCTGCGCTCTCCATCACTTGGAGAGTCTCGATATCTCCTGCACAGCTGTCTCAAATCTCGCAGCACTTACAGAATGCCAGAACACCCTGAGGTCCTTGAAGGTCCACGGGCTTCGGCGGCTGCACATGTCACCGGCCCGGCTCCTCTCCGTGCTCGGCCAGCTTCGGGCCCTCAGGCATCTGGACTTTTCGGAAGACCACTTTGCCGTAGACGGCAGTAATGGGAAGGATGGAGATGAGACGGTGCGGCAGCTGCTGGAGGGCAGCCCTCGGGTTCTGCCTCAGCTCATTTCGCTCGATATATCTGGAAGGAAGAGAGTCACTGAAGCTGCATTGAAGGTATTTTTGGAGAGCCGCGGTGGACTGATCTTTCTGGGGCTCCTCGCCACCGGAGTGAGCTCCAGTGATGTCCTGTCGACACGGAAAGATCTGAAAGTGAGTATCGTAGAGCAACGATTTAGAAACCAACATTATAGTTGCACAGACTGACTTCTTCATCTAACCTAGTACTTTTCTAGCTAGGAACACAGCACAACTAAATTCCTCTGACGCTAAAGTTCTTTGTTTCTCCAGGTAGCAGGAGAAGCCAATGAGAAACAGGTGTGCGAGGCCCTGAGACGATACAGAGACCGGGAGTGTTTCATAAGAGAGGCCCTTCTACAACTCTACAATCTGACCACAGACACTGACAAACCCCAGGAGGGTATCCTTAAGGTACTCGTCGTTACGTAGTACTATAGGATATGGTACTCAAATATCATGTCCGACTCCAAATTAGAACTACTTTATCTCCTGTTGATGTAACTTGAATTCTAAACTTGGGGTTCCGTATTCCGTATAAAACGTATACATTTCCACTTGTCTGAAATGGTTCTGGATTTCATCCGTCAAGGGTCGAAAATGTGCGCTTAGTTAATCAGACGTTCGACAGCCTGCTGGCAGTCACTGTAACTGATTGTGATGACACCAACCTTCTGTTTCCTGCAGCTGGTGCTCGGTGCGATGCAGAGCCATCCCTCGTCCTTGCGCGTCCACCTGGTGGCTACGGCCTGTATTTTCAACCTGACCACGCAGAACATGGCCGAGGCCATGCCCGTCAGCCTGCTCAGTGCCACCGTCGGTCGACTGCTCTACGCTATGAAGACATTCCCAAGTCATCAAGAGGTCAGGGTCTGCTTTTTCAGCTTAATATAAATATATATATGTGATGAAATATAATAACATTCTAGTTTAAATTTACTAAAAACGTACTCCTGTTTAGTTGGAGACAACACCGATATACCGGCAGGGACTGACAAAGATCTTCTTCAACAGCTCTGATTATATTTTCTTAGTTTTTATAACTATCTGCTGCCACCTAGTGGAAGAGGATTTAGTTGCACTGCCTATCATGCATTGACAAACAAATAAATAAATAATAGTTTTGGGACCAGTTAAGTGACATTGGATCATTTTCCGCGGGACACCTAGTGATCTCTGACGGCACACTAGTGTGCCCCAGCCCAGTGGTTGAGAATCACTGCACTAATGAGCCACAACAAATCGTCACCCGCTGTGGGAAATCATCGAATTTACCCCAAATAATTTGTATTTATTCATCAGTACATCAGTCAACAAGCAGAAAAATTAAATAATCGTCCACAAGATGGCAGCAGATGGCTATAAAACTAAAATAGGGGGAGACGCAGAGCTGCTAAAGAAGATCTTCGCGTGTCTCTTTATTCAATTCCTGTCAGTATATCAAGGTTTCGCAATTAAGAAACAAGATCATTATATTTCGTTACATAAACTTTTTGTGACATTTTTGTCTCTATGGTGCTCTAAATGTAAAATATGCGCCTCGGCTCCAAAAAAAAAAATGTTTGGGGAAACACTGATGTAGCTGGACAGCAGCAGGACGTGATGTAATGTTTTTGTATCAAATTGCTCCATGTGGTCATGGGTCCTGCTCTGCCACTTTGAGACGAACGCCGTAATTGCTTCGTAAAAAACACGTCATCTGGTGTATTTTTCTAACACCCTCGTGTTTGCACAATTCATAAACTGTTTATTCTTCCCAGGTGCAGAAGAACTGCCTGCTGGCTCTGTGCAGCGACTACATTCTTCAAGATGTCCCTTTTGACAAGTTGGTTTTACTTTCCGTCCATTTAATGACGTCAAAGCCCACACTTGTGCCGGAGCCAAGATAATCATTGCTCTATTAGTGGCAGGGCACGGTGGAGTGTTTCCAGGAGATTGTGATGCGGCCAGAATTTTACTTTTTTTTGTCTTTTTTCTTTCACTACCAAAAGAAAACATTCTTCCAAAAGCGTCTAATTCGTGAAGATTGTCTGCACATGAATGCTGTTTTTGTAATTATGCGTCCTTTCATACCCACTTACCCTGTCATCGTGGTTCAGGTATTTGGCAGCCACCCTGGTGATTAACTGGCTAAGCAGCCATGAGAATCCAACCCTTCAGAGGATGGCAGTGGCCGTCATCTCTATCCTGGTGGCCAAGGTCAGGACTGCTCCCCCTGCCTGTACATTTAATCGAAAGAAAATGCATTTGCATCTTTTAGTTTTGTGTTAGTTACATTTTTCTATGACTAAATAAAATAACCTGATTTTTGCCGTGTTTCTTTAACTTGCAGTTGACTGTGGAGCAGACCGCTCAGCTCAGCCAGGACGCCTTCGTCATGAAGGTACATTTGCATCCGAGGTAGTCACTTTCTAACATACACAATGATCTCAGATTAGCAGTAACTAGGCAGCAGTGTCATTTTAGGTCTCTCACTGAATGTCTTTTCCAGACCCCCTCCATTAATCTCACCTGGTATAGTTTCTATTACCAGCCGTAAAGATTTTGATTGTTGATTGTTCACCTCATTACTTCATGAACGCCACCTGCAGAAAATAAATCACACAAATCAAATCATCGTTGGGATGGCTTGATCCGACAATTGGGATCGGTCTGATATTAGTGGAAATTTCTGGATCAAACATCAAAAAACTATATATATATTTATATATATTTATATATATATTTATTCATGAATATATAGCACACAAACATTTATTAAAACAAAAAAAGGAAATCATCATTCAGAATTATATTTGCTCGTAACGTGGCGCGTCTCCTTCTACCCAAATAATAACTTTCTCTCCTGCTCTGTCTTGTCTCTGTCGAATTTTGCAAATTCCTATAGGTCAGTGGTTCTCAAACTGTGGTGCAGCGAGGGCAGTACATTCACTTTGCGTTGTTTGTTATCGTAAAAAAAAAACATTCTGGACCAACCGTTTGTCATGGCTAAGATAATAAACGGCATTTCCCGTTCATATTTCCTTATCTATTTTTTTTTTTTTTGGTGTCTCCTGTCTCAGCAACTGCTGGCCATTGTGCAGCAGAAGGCCATGATGGGGGTGGTTGACTCCACTCTGAATTTTGCACTTACTGCTTTGTGGAACCTGACGGATGAGATCCCTGCCGCGGCTCACAACTTCATTAAGTGTCAAGGCCTGGAGCTTTACGAGGAGGTCCTGGAGGTAAACACACACAACTTTGGTTACGGGAAATATTCCCCGACGTAAGGTCACGGATGAATATTTTACCGTTACCCTTCTTTTCCTGTAGACGTACCACAGTGAGCCATCCATTCAACAGAAGGTTCTCGGACTCCTGGTGGGTTTCCTGTGCAAAAAAAACAAACAAAAAAAAAACAAAGTGCCATCGTTGGATGTTGAAAGTGGAAAAAGTCAATGTGGGGAAAAACTCTGTTGCAGAACAACATAGCCGAGGTGGAAGAGCTGCAGGAGGACTTGTTGGAAAAGGAGCTGCTCGAACACGTACTCACCCTGCTGCAGAACTCCCGCCTGGAGGTCGGTGTCCGTTATTTTGCCGGAGGGATTTTAGCACAGCTCGCCTCCAGAGCGGACACCTGCAGCTTGGACGAGGAGCTGCGCGCCACCATCGTGAAGCAGCTGGTCTGCGTTGTTCTCTTAAGCAAACCGTTGGAAGTCGTCGTCGGCCATTTTCTAATGTGTCTCCTCCATCTCTGCAGCATTCCTCTATAATGACTTGGACCCAGCTGGAGAGAGAAATGGTCTCCTATAGGTGAGGTCGTGGTATTAGAATTTGATTTTTTTTAATATATATATATACATTTGTTTTTGAAAACACAGAATACAACATTGAAATTATTCATAAATATGGACAGGACTTGACAAAGAAAACATATCCCTAATTATATTTATCTATCCATCCATCTATCTATCTATCGATCTAATATTGTTTCACTAAAAACTCCAGCAGAAGAAAAGCCCAACGCATTCCAAGCTCTGACTCTCAAAATCCATCCTTGGCAGGTAGAGCTTGATTAAAGCCCAAAGTCCACACCAGATCATGCATTGTTTTGACAGCTGTACTGATCGGCTTGTCAACATTAAATCTGCCTTCAAAGAGTCTGCAGAGAAATTCTTTGGTAGGTCTGCAGAGAAATTCTGAAAAGGCCAAGAAATAATCTAGGACGACCAAAATACACAACTTCAGCTGTAAAAATATTGAAAGACTTTGGATTACTGAAGTATCCGGGAAATACAATGACAACGCTGAAGCGCTGTAGTGGTATGGTTTCATAGATTAGCGGTTTGAGTCCCGGAGGAACCGCATATCCCTAACGATACCTCCTCTGTGCTAGCCTGTGAGTTGCAAGCAACCATGTACTCCTGCTAGCCTGTGATTTGCAATGAACCATGTACTCAATGGCGCCTCCTATGGCAGCCTGTGGCAACTTTTAGGTCTCGTGTATGTGGTGTAAGCAACAGATTTTACAGTGATTTTTTGCCTCCGTCTTTAGTCAAGCGATCTGTCACGTCCATGTTCTAGGTCCTTCCGTCCTTTCTGCCCTCTGCTGCGGACTTGTCAGGCTCCAGGTGTGCAGCTGTGGGCCGTGTGGGCCATACATCTGCTGTGCAGCCAAAACAGTAAGACAAATAAACAAGAAACCCTGGAAGAAAGCAAACGCAGGATTAATGTGTTTATATAGTATTTGAGTGAAGTTGGGTTTTTTTTCTCCTCATTGTCTCGTTTCTCTGCCAATTTCTAGTATCGCTTTACGGCAGAATGCTGGAAAAGGACGGTGTTACCGAACTCCTGAAGGTCTTGGCTACGCATTCGGACACTCACGGCGACGTCAAGGGACTATCGGAAAACATCTTACAAATGGTCACTCGACACCGGAGTCAGACAACAACCAGACAGTAGCTTGAGACTGGACTCGGGGAGAATAGAACGTGTTGTTAAACTGAGAAAGAGAATTATTTAAGTTTCCGTGTAAAAATGTTCATATGTTCAAATGTTCAAAATAAAGTGTCATCCAAATAAAACTTTTTTCAATCAGAGCTTGAGTTGTAAGTTCCTATGCTGCCACTAGAGGGTGCCTTAGCACTGTTGCTGCCCGCCGGCTGGAATTACATTACATTCACCTTAAATTATTACAGTTATTGATATATCTTAATTTTAAGTGCTCACTCTCACACACTAAAGATAAAATTTAAAAAGTAAATAAAAAAAAGATTTTTTTTTCTATTTTTATTGTTATAATTTTTTTATCTCTACAGATTCCTTGGTGCATAGAGCTGACCTATTTATACATCAGCTGATCACGGGTTAGCATTTAAAAAAATTGCTATCCGTCAGGCGTTCACCGCGATCAAAGGTCACGTGTTCGTTCGTGCACATAATGTATCGCGACCTTGGGCGTGTAAAGCTGACAGGGGGGGAAACTGCAGTGTCGCGGTGTGAAAGGAGCAGTGACTGTGTGGTCTTTGTGTCAATAGTTTATGTGGAAAAAGTAGCAAACAAGGAGGTAATGAAGGAGCCAAACGGTAAAAGAGCTTCAAGTTAATCAGGTCTTAGGTTTCTGTCTGTAAGTCAAAGATCTCATTACTATTTAAGTGACACAGGAGACGCGCTGACTGTATCAGATGGACAGGTGTTTCCCAACCGGTGTGTCTTTACCCAAAAATTGGATGCGCGGTTCGACCTTGTGACGACAACAACAACAAAGATTGGATGGAAAAGTACAAAATTTGGTTAATGATTGTTGGATGTTTCAAAATAAAAAATAAAAAATAAGTGTAAGATAAGTCAATATATATTGTTGTTCAAATACATTATTGCCATAATTTAATTTTGTGAACTTTACTGATGCCAAACTGGGGGGAATTCTTGTGTTAACAGCTAAACTAGCTACACATTTTGCTACAAAATGCTGCCCCCTGGAGGTACAAAGTATGCAGTGCCTCTGGGAATCAAACCTAGGACACGTTGCTTGGAAAGCAGATGGGATAACCGCTGTGGGACCACCTTAAATAATACAATTGAGCAAAAATGTGTTTAAATATACAATATATATATATATATATTTAAAAAAAAGCCTCATGGAAGTTATTCGAGGAAAGACTAATGTTAGCCTGAGTTAAAGTGATGCTAAAAAAAAGTCTCAGCCCAGAAGTAACTAGACCGTCATCATCCAACCGCTAACAGTTACCAAAAAAAGGTGGCGCATAATTACTAATGGTTAACTTAAAAAATGTTCTCCAGACGTATCTTATAAATAAATAAATAAATAAATAACAAGATGCTTGAATTTAACCTGGTAAAAAAGTTTGTTCTTGTAAAGCAAGAGAAAAGCGAGAGAAAAAAAAAACTGGGTCATGATGAAAAGACTTTAGCAAAGTTCTGGTTCTTCACTGTTTCAGAACCGCCGACGTCAACAACAGAGGTAAGTTGCAGTTCCGCAGGGACACCGCTCGTTCACCTCCAGATTGTATTTTACTTAGAATTTCAAATGACTATCGAGCAACTGATCAGGTCGGGTTATCAAGTATTTAGAAACAACCGGAACTTTGAGGTAACTCTCAACTCATGTGATCTTGAATGATTTAAGGGTGATTAGAATTCACTTATCGGGATAAAACATCAAGTTAGCGCAAGTGCTCCGATTTCACCGTGTTATTCAGATTCCAGGGCAGGATTGTAGAGTTTCGACTAGCTCTCTGAAAGTTTCGACGTCTCTGAAAGTTAACTAGCGCTGTACTACAGTCCGCGGACCAGCACCGGGTCGTAAGTCATTTCTTACCAGACCGCAGTGGTACACAATGAAAAAAGTACTTAAGTTACGATTAGTACGATTTTACTTCATTCAAAGATAATCAATATTAGCAATATTTCAAAATAATATGTCATCCGGACTGTGATACTAACAGAAAAAAGTACAAAAGACTGCTGTACAATATGCAGTACTGACAAGGAAAAAACAAAGTACTAGACCAGATCCACATTCTCTGAAAAGGACAAATTTCCCAGGCTGCCATCTGTGCTCTTTTCCGAGCCAGGTTTTTTCATTTAGAAATGTAATTTTAGAAACAGATATGACATAAACAGCGGTAAATAACTCGTTCAAAGATAAGTGACTTCCGAGTCTGTTGTGTTTGCGCTGCAGTTGAGTTAGAGTTCAGGGTAAATAAGCCCCCGTTTTTATCTCTCTGTTGCAGCCTCCTCTAAAGATCCGCCACAACTGTGAACGCACCCTGATATTGTATTCCACTCCACAGTGCGTTTCAAAGGCTTACTCCTAAGCCCCTCCGCGGCGCGGCGCTGCGCGAGCTAACAATGTCTCGTAGAAGAACATAATTATAGGCCTTTTTATTCAGCTGGGTCCAAATATTTCTTTTGATGATGTAGGAAGACGAGTCTCTGGTTACGGCTTATAATGAAGCTTTAGAAAACTTTAGAGCACTTTTCGTCGGCTTTTAGGCGGTACGTGTTCAACAAAGAGGCGATACGTGTTGGAGTAGCCCGAGGCAGAAGCGGAGCTTTTACTGCATCTCTGTGCGTCTAAACACATCTATAACAGATGTGCTTTCCATACGGGGACGACCCTGCAGTGTGGGTGGCGCGGAAGGCACAGAAAAATGGAAATTGACTTCACCCAGCAGCACGGTTAATCACTTAGCATGCGCTGGTAATAGCACACTCTAAAGCCCAGGCTGATGTTACAGTAAACACGGCAGAGCTAGCGGTAGTGCATTATTCATGCAGAAGAAGCAAGCAATTTAGCAGGGTATATTTGTTTTTTAAAATTATTATTGTGAAAGAGATACACGTTGTTTCCCCTTGTGTCGATGTGATGGCACGAATTAGATCAGGCGGATATCCTATTTCCACACTATCACCTTCGCCTCAGGCATCGCATGGCCTTATCAGTGACAGAGCGGGACGCGTTGTGCGACACCTTCGCCGTGGAGACCTGGTG